ATATATATATATATATATATATGTACGAGTGAGAATAACGCCGAAAACACGAAGGCCAGAGTAAACATCGCGTGCTCTGCTGCTGCTGCTGCTTCTGCTGCTACTGCTTCTGCTGCTGCTACTGCTTCTGCTGCTGCTGCAGCTGCTACTGCTGCTACTACTGCTGCTGCTGCTGCTGCTACTGCTGCTACTGCTGCTGCTGCTGCTGCTGTTTTTGGCGCTGCTGCTGCTGCTGCTACCGCTGTTGCTGCTGCTACTTCTGCTGCTGCTGCTGCTGCTTCTGGCACTGCTGCTGCTGCTACTGTTGCTGCTACTACTGCTGCTGCTGCTTCTACTGCATGCTGCTACTACTCCTGCCTTTGGCGCTGCTGCTGCTGTTGCTGCTGCTGCTGCTTTTGGCGCTGCTGCTGCTGCTACTGTTGCTGCTACTATTACTACTGCTGCTGCTACTGCTGCTACTACTGTTGCTTCTGGCGCTGCTGCTGCTGCTGCTACCGCTGCTGCTGCTGCTGCTACTGCTGCTACTACTGCTGCTTCTGGCGCTGCTGCTGCTGCTACCGCTGCTACTGTTGCTGCTGTTGCTGCTACTTCTGCTTCTGTTGCTGCTACTGCTGCTGCTTCTGGCGCCGCTGCTGCTGCTACTGCTGCTGCTTCTGGCGCCGCTGCTGCTGCTACTGTTGCTGCTACTATTGCTGCTTCTGCTGCTACTGCTGCTACTGCTGCTACTACTGCTGCTTCTGGCGCTGCTGCTGCTGTTGCTACCGCTGCTACTGTTGATGCTGTTGCTGCTACTGCTGCTTCTGTTGCTGCTACTGATGCTACTGCTGGTGCTTGTCTCTGGTGTAGTATATGCCAGCAACAGGCGCTGTCGCCCGGTCGTGCATCGCAGCATACGCGTCTGCTTTTCCTAACTGATCGCCAACATAATTTACTCGATCGATAGCGGGTAATCGCGCGACGACACGTAAATTGATACCCAAGATCTATCGTAAGCATTGCTGACGATCGTCGTTATGTAGTACTGGCAGGAGAGATGTACAAGCTGACATAGGGTAACTGACTGGGGCAAGCTGACATCGCAATGCCCCAGAGACGCGGAGTAATGTGCGCGCAGAAATTACTCCAACAGCGCAGCCAAAATTACACACACGCACGCACTCATGCACACGCAACATATATACACACACGGGCACACACACACACACACACACACACACACACACACACACACACACACACACACACACACGA